CCCATAGAGGAAGGGCCCGCGGCCCTCGCTCCGCCAGCCGCGGCGCCCTCTGCGCCACGGGCATGGCGCCACAGCCGGGCAGGATCCGGTACAGGATCGGGACGGCGTAAGATTTCGGAGTTTGGAGTTTAGAGTTCGGAGGAGGAGGAGGAGGAGGAGGAGGAGGAGGAGGAGGAGGAGGAGGAGGAGGAGGAGGAGGAGGAGGAGGAGGAGGAGGGGCATGAGGAGGAGGAGGGAGGAGGAGGAGGAGGAGAAGGATGTGGAGGTGCAGGATCGGGATGTGGAGGTGCAGGATCGGGGAAGCGTGAGGCTCGAGTTCGCCGGAGCTGGGGTCTACTGGCGCCTCTTGGCGGGCCCGCCCTGATGCTTGAAGGTCCCGTGCTCGTGTGATGTTTTTGCAGCGGGAGCTTGCGTCGAGTTTCATGGCGGATCTCGCAACTTTTCTGACGGCCTTGTGTCAGAGGAGGAAATGGTACCGATACCGCTATCTTTCCCTTGTTTTCCCCTTTGGGGGCCTCCTGAGCGGCCCTTGTCGCAACGGCTGGATTCGCCTCGAAGTCCTGGTCAGGACGCGCCCAAGAAGAGGTCCGGGGAGTAGCGGTAGCGGTAGCGGTACCTTTCGGTCTCCCCACCGTCAGGCCAATTCGAGTCTCCAGAGTCGAGTTTTACAGTCGGACCGAGGTATAGGAGCCAGGTCGGTTCGGGGAGGGTACTCTAATGCCCCTTCGTGTTTGTTTGATGTTCTTGTGCATCCCCGGGGAGGGCACCCTCGAATGTTCTCCAGTTTGGGCCGGCGGAGGGTCTCATGCTCTTGAGGGTTGTTCTTCTGTCCTAGGTCCGACTAGTCTCCCCGGCAGGAGCACCCGAGGTGGGGCCAGCGACCTCACCTTCGAGCAGGCCGTGTTCGAGGGGCTGGCTCTTCGGGGGATGCGGATGCGACTCCTGGGAGGCCAAATCCTGATTTTGGTCCGAAGTCCGGCTCAACCCGGCTTACTCCTGTTTACAAGTCGCGTCACAGTTAACGTCACAAATTAGTAGGCCCGACTCGAGGGATTACTCCGCACCGGTCACCACATACGTCTTACCCCTCAACCTCCGCCCAATCCCCCTCCGCTTCCCCCCTGCTTATCCTCCTCCTTCTCCTCCTCCTTCTCCTCCTCCTCCTCCTCCTCCTCCTCCGGCCTCCATCCATCCACCCTCCTGCCATGCAGCCTCCTTCCATCCTCTTTCAGCCTTCATCCATCCACCCTCCATCTGGCCATCCAGCGCCCCCCCATGCAGTGTCCCTCCAGCCGCCCTCCACCCGTCCAGACATCCACCCCTTTATCCGTCCTCCTATCCGCCACCCTTCTTCCACCCAGCCTCACTCCAACCAGAGTCCATTCATCCATCCTCCATCAAGCCTCCCTCTTCCCACCCCTACCCCTCCCTCCATCCAACGTGCATCCATCCAGACTCCCTCCTGCCTACCTCATTCCATCCAGCCTCCTGCCAATCAGCCTTTCTCCATCCTCCCTCCATTGAGCATCCCTGTTCTCTCACCCTCCCCTCCCTCCATCCAGGCCGCCTCCATCCAGGCTCCTCCGCCAGCCTCCCTCCATGCCTCCATCCTTCCTTCCATCCATCCCCCCGCCATGCAGGTACAATCCGTGCACCAATACATCATGGGCGCCTCCATCCCTCCTTCGACCCGTAATCACGCCAAGGCAGATTGTATCCTCATCCCCTGTATCCCCTCATCCTTCTCCTTCCACCTTCTCCTTTCCTCATCCTGGCTCTTCCTCTTCCCTCCTCGTCCTCTTCGTCATATTTAACGTCGTCGTCGTCGTCGTCGTCGTCCTCCTCCTCCTCCTCTTGTTCCCCCTCCTCCTCCTCCTCCTCCTCCTCCTCCTCCTCCTCCTCCTCCTCCTCCTTGTCAGAATCATCATCGGTATCCGGATGAGCATGAGCATCAGCAGCATCAACATCAGTACCAGCATTGTCAAACTCGTCATATCCATCGTCACCAGCAGTACCAACACAAACCTGATCACCAACATCATCATCATCATCATCACCATAATCATGCCATTTATCGTCAGCATTATCACCATCAACATCATCATCATCATCACCACCATCATCATCATCATCATCATCAATTTCACCATCACCAACATCATCATCAACATCGACATCATCATCATCTTGCTCATCCTCCTGCTCCTCCTCTTCCTCCTCCCTCCTCCCCCTCTCGTCGTCTTCCTCATCCTCCTCTCCCTTCTCCTGTCCTCCCCCCTTCTCATTCTCCTCCTTACCAGCCTGGAACATATCCCTATCCCTATGCTGGGCATCTCCTCGCCACGATGCCAATCCTAGGGGGGGGGGATTTTTTGAGGGCGCATCTCTAAGATTGTCATCGCTTTTTGTCGTGCCAATCTTACGGATAGGGATCCGTTCGAGGCTTGTAACCTCCTTATTCCCTCCCTTCCTCTTCCTTCTCTGACCTCCTCGTAATCATCGCGGGCGTTGTCAGGTAAAGAAATGCGCGCCGGCTGTCTGGCACAACTGTCTGGTAAGGAAATGCCTGCGGCTGTATGGTAGGGAGTTGCGCGCCGGCTTTCTGGCAAGGAAACGCCTGCCTGCTCTCCAAAATGTCCGCTGGCTGTCCGACGACCGCCTGGTACAGACATGCGTGCGACTGTTTGGTGGGGAGTTGCGTGCCAACTGTCTGGTAAGGAAATGCCTGCTGGCCCTCTTAGTGTCTGGTAGGGAGGCATGAAGGTGGGCTTGCCCCCACTCCCCACCTTCTCCAAAGTTGACGCTGACAGAACCTGAGCTGGGGCAGACGCTTGCGATCCACGCGCCCTCAACTTCGGAGGGGGAGGGGGGAGGGGGGGGGGGGAGGAGGGGAGGGGGGGAGAGGAGGAGGAGGAGGAGGAGGAGGAGGAGGAGGAAGCAGGAGGAGGGAGGAGGAGGAGGAGGAGGAGGAGGAGGAGGAGGAGGGAGGAGGAGGAGGAGGATGGAGGGGATCGGAGGAGGATGAGAGGAGGAGGAGGAGAGAGGAGGAGGAGGAGCGAGGAGGAGGAGGAGGAGGAGGAGGAGGAGGAGGAGGAGGAGGAGGAGGAGGAGGAGGAGGAGGAGGAGGAGGCGGAAGAGGAGGAGGAGGGAGGAGGAGGAGGAAGAGGAGGAGAAGGAGGAGGAGGAGGGGAGGAGGAGGAAGGAGGAGGAGGAGGAGGAGAGGAGGAGGAGGAGGAGGAGGAGGAGGAGGAGGAGGAGGAGGAGGAGGAGGAGAGGAGGAGGAGGAGGAGGAGAGGAGGGGCGGAGGGGAGGAGGAGGAGGAGGAGGAGGAGGAGGAGGAGGAGGAGCGGAGGAGGAGGAGGAGGAGGAGGAGGAGGAGGAGGAGGAGGTGAAGGAGGAGGAGGAGGAGGAGGAGGAGGAGGAGGAGGAGGAGGAGGAGGAGGAGGAGGAGGAGGAGGAGGCGGAGAGAAAGGGAGGAGGAGGAGGAGGAGGAGGGAGGAGGAGGAGGGGAGGAGGAGGAGGGCGAGGAGGGGAGGAGGAGGAGGAGGAGGAGGAGGAGGAGGAGGAGGAAGAGGAGGAGGAGAGGAGGAGGGGGGAGGAGGAGGAGGAGGAGGAGGAGGAGGAGGAGGAGGACGATTGGGAGGAGGAAGAGAAGGAAGAAGAGGAAGAGGAGGAAGAGGAGGAAGAGGAGGAACAATAGGATGATGATGATGATGATGATGATGATGCTGATGATGATGCTGATGATGCTGATGATGATGAGGATGATGATGATGATGATGATGGTGATGATGATGATGCTGCTGATGATGATGATGAAAATGATGATGATGGTGATTATGATGATGAGGATGATGAGGAGGATGAGGAGGAGGAGGAGGAGGAGGAGGAGGAGGAGGAGGGGGAGGCGGAGGACCGTCGCAAACCCAAGACGTATCAACGATATTGCAGTACACCTTCCCTTCAAGGTTCCTTGTTCAGAGGCCCCTACATAGGGCCATCTTCACGGAGGAGAGACTTCCCCATCGGAAGACGACCGTCTTGGGATGCCAGCGCCACGAACCACAGTCACTATTGCGATGCGGCGATCCTGCATCGTGTCAGTGCACCATCCGTGGGACTCTGACGTAGAAGAGGAATTCTGGACGCTTCGCGCATCCCCGCCAGCCCAGTGCGCTTCTCAACTTTGGCGGGAAGGGGGGTCGTCATACGTGTCCCTCCAGTTTGAAGGGCCTGGCCGCCCAGCGCTGTGTCAAGTCAATTGCGACGCGGCTTGTAGTTTGGCGCAGTCCCGCTTAATCCGGCTTACTTCGGGTATAGCCAGGACCCCAGGTAAGGGGACCCGGTTAGTAGTAGGGCCCCAGAGCCCTTCAATTTGCCAGAATGACTCAACCAGGTCTGCCGTGGCTGGTGTGACGGCAGTTCCGGTTAGTGGAACGGGGCGGGGAGGGCGTTCCCCAGTACACATCACTAAATCATGTTCCACTAAACTCAGTTCCGCCAGCACCCGACTCATCCCGCTCAATCCGCGGCCCAATCCGGCGTAGCAGCCCCCCAGCGGGGTTTCACCCTCCCTCACCCTTCCGACGAAGACCTCCCAGTAGTTGCCTCCCAAGATGGATGGATTGACCCGAGACCTCTTCGAGAGGCGACGCACGAGCACGCATCGTAGAAGGTTTTCGGCCATTTTCTGCCGTCTCGGGGGGGGCCCTCTCGGGGGATCGATTTTGGCCCAGGCTTCCTCGCCAGGCGAACAAGGCACGCGCACAACGGGAGCATTTTTGTTGCCGTCTACGGCTTTCGGGGGCCCTTGCCGAGACCCCGTGGCGTCAAGAAGCGGGTCAGACCCAAACCACCTCCCAGGAAGACAGATGTCGGGTCGGGAGGATGGGAGTGGGGGACATGTGAAAATAGGTTCTCTGGGTTTCTTAATAAGGTTTGGGAGGGACCCCCCCGACGTGGGTCAACCTCGCCTTGTCGTCGCGCCGCGACGGGGATCG